AACAAATACTGTGTGCAATTGTATGGCTCTACAATAAGCATACCAACTAATACTGTGTTCAATGGTATGGCTCTACAGTAAGCATACCAACTAATACTGTGTGCAATTGTATGGTTCTACAATAAGCATACCAACTAATACTGTGTTCAATGGTGTGGTTCTACAATAAACGTACCAACTAATACTGTGTGCAATGGTATGGCTCTACAGTAAGCATACCAACTAATACTGTGTTCAATGGTATTACTCTACAATAAGCATACCAACTAATACTTTTTTCAATTGTATGGCTCTACAATAAGTATAGCAACGATTACTGTGTGCAATTGTATGGCTCTACAATAAGCATACCAACTAATACTGTGTACAATGGTATGGATCTACAATAAGCATAACAACGATTACTGTGTGCAATTGTATGGTTCTACAATAAGCATACCAACTAATACTGTGTACAATGGTATGGTTCTACAATAAGCATACCAACTAATACTGTGTTCAATGGTATGGTTCTACAATAAGCATACCAACTAATACTGTGTGCAATGGTATGGCACTACAATAAGCATAACATCTAATACTGTGTGCAATGGTATGGCTCTACAATAAGCATAACATCTAATACTGTGTGCAATGGTATGGTTCTACAAAAAGCATACCAACTAATACTGTATGCAATGGTATGGCTCTACAATAAGTATACCAACTAATACTGTGTGCAATCGTATGGCTCTACAATAAGCATACCAACTAATACTGGGTGCAATGGTATGGCTCTAAAATAAGCATACCAACTAATACTGTATGCAATGGTATGGCAATACAATAAGCATACCAACTAATACTGTATACAATGGTATGGCTCTACAATAAGCATACCAACTAATACTGTATACAATGGTATGGCTCTACAATAAGCATACCAACTAATACTGTGTGCAATGGTATTGTTCTACAATAAGCATACCAACTAATACTGTATGCAATGGTATGGCACTACAATAAGCATAGCAACTAATACTGTGTGCAATGGTATGGCTCTATAATAAGCATTCAAACGATTACTGTATGCAATTGTATGGTTCGACAATAAGCATAACATCTAATACCTTTTTGTGATAAAAATAAACTAAATTTGATATTCACTTATAAACAAAGTCGATACATGGGTAAGCCTGAGAATAATTTGCGACACAGCTGAAGTTTGGAATCTTGGTTTTGTTGCTCTTGACAACCAGAATGGGTTATCTGATGCTATGTCATATGCATGTAACGACACTTGATTCACGAGATACATAATTAAAAAAAAATGTCAGTTCTACACTGCTGGGGTATTGACAGGTCGTGAACCATGAGAAATGACGCTTAGTAACTGACAATAACAAATAACATTATTCAACAGCGTGCTGTCATTAAATAAATATCCAGACCAATAAGATAAAACAACAATTTTCAAAATTCCTGCGATAAATTTGACACTTTTTGAAACTAGTGCCAGTCCCAATAAGTCTCCTGTTGAATAATAATATAATAATATGAGGTTATAACGAGGATAACTCAAAGTACGCAATACAGCGGGAGTATCGACCGATGCGCATCGGAGGTCGATGCAACGGCGTACTTTCTGAGTGCATACTTTGAAATATTCTCGTAATAACTTGATTATTATGCATCTTTTCCACCCAAAGATACATCATGGGAAAGCCGAAATCCAAAAAATTTAGAGCAGAATCAGTCAAATCGGTCAAATCCTGGTGGCAACCATGTTTGTTTTTATTATTAGAATAATTCCATATTTTGAATTCGCATTTCTTAATATGGTTGAATGAAAATACCCTGTAACATTATGGCGTAACTTACGGCGTTTTGATGACAGATGTATAATAATACATGGTATTACAACATGAATGTCAGGTCTTTATTGCGTTGTCCGATACAATAATGTTGCCTAATCCTATATACAAAGTGCAGAAATTAATGCCTGGAAGTGATCACTGTCCAATAACTGCAACAATTAAAATACCAACTTTCACAGAAATTAACTACAATCTAAACAATAACCTACAAAATTAAATGGTTAAACTCAACAACAGAAATATATAAACTGTTCTTACAAACATATGAAGGCAAAGGCATTATAAACATATTTATAGAGTCTGACTTTACAAATAGGAATATAAATGAAATTTGTTTGGTATTTCAAAATATGTTGGAAAAACATTAATAAAAAATGACACATTGACAAGACAAAAGGAAATACATGTAAGAAAAAAAGACACAGATTAACAGATGCAAAATGTATGAATTGGAATCCATTGTCAAAAGTATATAAAAGAAACCTTATGACAAATTTACTATGAAAAGAAAAAGAACTTTCGAGTATACATGAAAAAAATACATGAAAAAAATACAAGAGGAAATATGGCAACAAATAAAACAAAAAATAGGTTCTGAAGATAAAGAAAAAAATCCAATTAAATTTTGGAATGTTGTTAGACAATTTACCAAGAGAAAACAAGATAACACGGCTGTAGACATCCAATATGGAGAATGGGTCAATCATTTTCAAAATATAAGTAAAAACAATAATTTATCTACAGAGCGACAAAAGAAGGTTTACAAAAAACTACTAGATGAGGAAAAAATAACAAAGCAACAGGACTTGATGGAATACCATCCGAAATGCTAAAATACAGCCACCCTTTGGTTACAAAAGCCCTCCATAAAATGTTTAACACCGTATTAGATAGCGGAGAATACCCAAACTGATGGAATACTAGCACAATTACACCAATACACAAAAAAGAAGATATTTACAAATAATTACAGGGGTATTTCAACTAGTAGCTCAATCGGAAAGACACGATATTTAAAATATAAAAATCATGCTGGCTTTAGAGAAAAGCACAGAACAACAGACCATGTAATAACACTGCACACATTGATAAAAAAATATCAGTCAAAAAAACAAAAAAACTATACTCTTGCTTCATTGACTAAAAAACGTTTTCAGAATCAATTGAAAATTTTGTACAAGCAAATAACAAAGAAAAACTTGTTTACATATTTAAGGCTGGGAACAGAAATTAAATACATAAAAACCGCATATACGACAAGAAAACAATATTATAAAACAAAAACTCATGGAAAATGTATGCGCAAATATAACTTTCAAATTATTCCAAATTCAAATTATTTTTCCAAAGAATTTAGTCAGTTTTGTCATTTACAGGTACATCCTCAGATGAACTGCTTTTTGTTGCCCATGAATAGAAACCGAGAGTGACAACATTTAAAGTGATTTCGTAGAGGCTGGTCCATATAGAAGAGGTTCCATTGACTAGAGCATCGCTCTGTTTATCTGCAATATTTTCCCCGTCATAATTCTCTTGATCTTCCGCTATTTTACGTTTGATAGCATCTGTGTATTGGTTTTTGAAAGGGGCGTTCCCGTTGTCTTTCTTCATTTTTTCGACCTTTTGCACAAGTTCCCGTATCTGTTCATTTTTCTCCTGCTCTATTTTGGTTCTATTGTCAAAAGCAATCACACGATTATTGCATGTGGTCACTAAGTCCGACAGATCTTTTGGCATTTCTTCTAAAAATTTATCCAACGTCATGTTGTCGTGTGTAAGTGCATCCTTTCGTGTGAACAATACGATTAGGTACTTCATCATTTCATCTCCAAAGGTTTTATGGAATATCTTGATCGAGTCGGCATGCTCTTTAGTAAACCTGTCGTCGGCATTAAGAACCAAAATGAAGGCATCCAAACCCTCGCCTTGACTCATTGCTACGCCAACGCACTTGCTGATTTCGGTTATTATTGTCTTTTCAGCTTGCTCGCCGCGAGTATCAAACACACCGGGTGTGTCGATAACTACAAGATCTTTTCCATCAAATGTACGTTTTCCATAGCGTGTAGTCTTTGTCGTTGATACTAGACATCGCTCGGAATGGAACGCTTTTTCACCAACAATGCTATTGCCCGTTGCACTCTTACCACATCCAGTTCGACCAATCAAAACGAAAACCAATTTCTCGCATTTCCCATCAATGGATGGTTTATTCCTATAAAGAAAATTGTGTATAGAAACAACGTTGTCACTAAATAACAACTGACAAAATGAATTACATTAGATCAAGTTTATATACTGGGTTCATGAAAATAGCCTTAGAACCAACATGTTAAAGAGGTCGAAATGTTAAATTGACTGCGCCTCACCTAAAACATTTTTTTCAATATCATCTATACTTATATCTGAACCCAGATGACATCATTTGTAGGTGATTTTAGTTTCATTAAGAGTACATTTTTACATTGTGTTGTCTACGCTTTCCGATATTACTTTTTCATCTTATATTTTGAAATTGAGTTTCGCAATTACCATATGCATGATTCCAACACGCGACATGAAAAGATGTATGGTCAATTGTTACAAGGCGATTTCCATAGTAACAAACAGTTTTGACCTAAATATTAAACGGCCAAGCTTTACGTGGTGAACAGTACTTAGTAACCTAGAAACGAGAACTACAACCACCCCAAACATGTAGCTCTCAGATCTGTAGCGATTAAATACAACTGCAGTGTACTGTAGCGTTGAATTCATGATCGTTAAACCTAAGTTTAAATCCTACCCCAACGTTTTGTCAGTTACAGGTACATCCTCAGATGAACTGCTTTTTGTTGCCCATGAATAGAAACCGAGAGTGACAACATTTAAAGTGATTTCGTAGAGGCTGGTCCATATAGAAGAGGTTCCATTGACTAGAGCATCGCTCTGTTTATCTGCAATATTTTCCCCGTCATAATTCTCTTGATCTTCCGCTATTTTACGTTTGATAGCGTCTGTGTATTGGTTTTTGAAAGGGGCGTTCCCGTTGTCTTTCTTCATTTTTTCGGCCTTTTGCACAAGTTCCCGTATCTGTTCATTTTTCTCCTGCTCTATTTCGGTTCTATTGTCAAAAGCAATCACACGTTTATTGCATTTGGCCAGTAAGTCCGACAGGTCTTTTGGCATTTCTTCTAAAAAATTATCCAACGTTATGTTGTCGTGTGTAAGTGCATCCTTCCGTGTGAACAATACGATTAGGTATTTCATCATATCATCTCCAAAGGTTTTACGGAATATCTTGACCGAGTCCGCATGCTCTTTAGTAAACCTGTCATCGGCATTAAGAACTAAAATGAAGGCATCCAAACCCTCGCCTTGACTCATCGCTACGCCAACGCACTTGGTGATTTCGGTTATTATTGTCTTTTCAGCTTGCTTGCCGTCAGTGTCAAACACACCGGGTGTGTCGATAACTACAAGATCTTTTCCATCAAATGTACGTTTTCCATAGCGTGTAGTCTTTGTCTTTGATACTAGACGTCGTTCGGCATCGAACGTTTTTCCACCAACAATGCTATTGCCCGTTGCACTCTTACCACATCCAGTTCGACCAATCAAAACGAAAACCAATTTATCGCAATTCCCAACAACGGATGGTTTATTCCTATAAAGAAAACTTGTTTTAGTAACAACATTGTCGCTAAATAACAACTGACAAAATCAATTACATTAGAACATGTTCATATACTGGATCCACAAAATAGCCTAGAACCTATATTTTAAAGGAGTCGGAATATTAAATTGACTGCACCTCACCTAAAGAATTTGTTTCAATATCATCTATACTTATAGGTGATCTTAGTTTTACTTTGTGTTGTCTGCTACGCTTTCTGCTATTACTTTTTAATCTTATATTTTGAAATTGAGTTTTGCAATTACCATATGCATTATTTCAACACGCGACATGAAAAGCTTGTTACAAGGCGATTTTGATAGTAACAAACCGTGTTGACCCAATTATTAAACGGCCAAGCTTCACGTGGTGCAATACTTGTAATTGCCAAAACTCAATTATAATACTCAAAGCGGGGAAGTCCTCACCTGCGCATGCGTCAGACGGCCATAGCGTGTCATTATTTACAAACAAGCGTCTACCCATGAGCCTACGCGTTTTTAGCGTGTGATGTTATCGTCGCTTGGGACTCAATTCCCGCGCATGCGCAGGTGACGATCCTCCCGCTTTAAGACAAAGAAGTAATAACATAGGAAAGCATAGGAGACTGCAAAAAGTGAATATAATTTTACAATAGGCAATGTAATATAGAAGTAGTGACTCACGGGCTAAAAGTTTTCCAGAAATAATACAGTTTTCAAAGTGACTACATTTACAGAGCTAAATGCTACAAATCTGACAATATCAGGTCCATTCTTCCGGTCTGAAACGCGAGCCCAAAAGCTTAATATTCTAATTCCACTACAAAATCAATTAACAATAAGTAATATATATATATATGCTGGAAAGATCAAACTAATATCTTAAAACTAGTAACCTAGAAACGAGAACTACAACCACCCCAAACATGTAGCTCTCAGATCTGTAGCGATTAAATACAACTGCAGTGTACTGTAGCGTTGGATTCATGATCGTTAAACCTAAGTTTAAATCCTACCCCAACGCAAAGATAGCGCATTAAATCCTGTGACGTACATTTTGTAGTTCCAAACTGGAATATGGTCTCCTTGGCAAAATGCATAATATGTCAGCATTTGCAAATTGCTCATTAAGTCAGGAGAGACAACAGTGCATTCAATGTACGGAACTGCACATGTCGCCTGGTAGAAAAATATTTCAAAACAAACACGATTATAGTTAACATACCCCATGATTACTTTCGATGATTGCTATTAATGCTATTATCAACTGTAAATTTGTCGGTTTACGGCGAAGTTTCAGAGAGACTGACTTTCCCGATGAGAGAAGACTGCTAGCAAGTCGTCGTGGCGGTCCCCCTGGGGCGGTCCTGGCTTTCTGAATTGGCGATAGTTGACATTTGGTGAGGCACATGCGCATTCCACGACACTGCACTCTCGCAAATATGTACGATTTAGTATGTATACGCCTTCCTGTCGCTACTTCTCTCCCAGGGTTGTTGAACTGTGAACCTGTTTATGCATCGCCCAGTATCTTGCATGCCATTATTACTACTCTTTTCTCGAAACAACCGATGAGCTTATTGCCCGTGTCAGTGATTTGGTCATACATTTCAACATTCTCACTTTGAAGGCAAGTTTAATTTTTTTATTTTAACAGTATTACTTTATGTCAACACTTCTGTCATTCGAATGAGTAGTACAGTATGGCCCAGTGCCAGTACTAGTACACTATAGTGCAGTACATTCCTTTAACATAACATTCACTGGACAGTGGCGGATCCGGGGGGCAATGCCCCCCCCCCCAAAAAAAAACGCATAACGATTCATATCTTCTGTTTTACGAATACCTGCTCTGCGATTTACGCTCCGTATATCTCAAGCGAAGCTTGGACCCACCCCCACCCCCCAAACATTTTGCTGGATCCGCCACTGCCACTGGACACTTCGTGAATACATACACGGTATGAAGAAACAACCTCAGTGAAAGGAGCCTGACACATGATAGCACCCGGGCATAACTTTAATAAACCTAACTCTAGGAATATGTAATAAGTGTGTTTAGAGGAATGTTGCGTGTGGTCGAGTACGTGCGATAGTTTTAAAATCACAGGATTATAAAGATATAGACGTAACATCGATCTAGTGCAGATGTGTACACGTAGACAACATTACAATGTAGTACCAACCATGTATACGGTATATATACGGTAGATAAAAAAAATGCATGGTGTGTCATAATACACAATATAAACCATTTTACACAACAATCTACGTATAATGATTAACTCGATAACTTTATACCTATTACATTCTAGAATGACGAGTTCTGTCCCGTTCCCTCAAGGAAATGACAGCACACTGTGCCTGGTGCTGGTAGGCATGAATGGAAGTGGGAAAAGCGCCACAGGAAACACTCTACTTAAACGTGATAACTTCACTAGCCGTCGTTCACTAATACCGACAACACAGAAAACTGCATGGGGAAAGACAATCGGGAGAGACATATTAGTCATTGACACACCGCCAATGATATTAACCGATGACACATCTAAAAAGAATAGACTGACATCGAGAGAAGCAGCTATGGAAATCAACAAATGTAAAGAATTTGCCAACAAAGAAGGTAGTGGGGTCGATGCCATCTTATTGACATTCAACGTAAACGAGCGATTCACCCCAGAACACGAACGTTGTATTCACGAATATGAGATGTTATTTGGTGCCGATTTTTATCAATATTTGATAATCGTTTTCACCAGAAAAGACCAATTGACTCAAGATAACATGTCGCTGAATCAATTTTTACTACAAACCCCAGAGTTTTTAACATCTTTACTACGTCGATGTGACAATCGTGTTGTGGCCATTGACAATATTACGACTGACGACGACGTGAAACAGAGGCAGGTTGACGAAATTATACACATTGCAGTTCAACTTAAAAGATCGCACAACAGTAGACCTATGCCAGGTGATCCCAGTTATAGTGTA